CACACACACACACACACACACACACACACACATATATATAATCACATCTTCTTTATCCGTTCTTCTGTTGATGGACATCTAGGTTCTTTCCATAGTTTGGCTATTGTGACATTGCTGCTATAAACATTCGGGTGCACGTGCCCCTTTGGATCACTACATTTGTATCTTTAGGGTAAATACACAGTTGTGCGATTGCTGGGTCGTAGGGTAGCTCTATTTTCAACTTTTTGAGGAACCTCCATGCTATTTTCCAGAGTGGCTGCACCAGCTTGCATTCCCACCAACAATGTAGGAGGGATCCCCTTTCTCCGAATCCTCACCAGCATCTGTCATTTCCTGACCTGTTAATTTAAGCAATTCTGACTGGTGTGAGGTGGTATCTCATTGTGGCTTTGATTTGTATTTCCCTGATGCCGAGTGATGTTGAGCACTTTTTCACATGTCTGTTGGCCATTTGGGTGTCTTCTTTGTAGAAATGTCTGTTCATGTCTTCTGCCCATTTCTTGATTGGATTACTTGTTCCTTGGGTGTTGAGTTTGATAAATTCTTTATAGATTTTGGATACTAGCCCTTTATCTGATATGTCATTTGTGAATATCTTCTCCTATTCTGTCAGTTGTCCTTTGGTTTTGTTGACTATTTATTTTGCTGTGCAAAAGCTTTTGATCTTGATGAAGTCCCAATAGTTCATTTCTGTCCTAGCTTCCCTTTGCCTTTGGCGTTGTTTCTAGGAAGAATTTGCTGCGGCTGAGGTCGAAGAGGTTGCTGCCTTTGTTCTCCTCAAGGATTTTGATGGATTCCTGTCTCATATTGAGGTCTTTCATACATTCTGCGTCTATTTTTTCTGTGTGGTGTAAGGAAATGGTCCTGTTTCATTCTTCTGCATTTGGCTGTCCAATTTTTCCAATACCATTTGTTGAAGAGACAGTCTTTTTTCCATTGGACATTCTTTCCTGCTTTGTCAAAGATTAGTTGACCATAGAGTTGAGGGTCTGTTTCTGGGCTATTTGTTCCATTGATCTGTGTGTCTGTTTTTGTGTCAGTACCATACCATCTCGATGATTACAGCTTTGTAATAGACCTTGAAGTCTGGAATTGTGATGCCACCAACTTTGGCTTTCTTTTTCAACATTTTCCTCTGGCTATTTGGGGTCTTTTCTGGCTCCATATGAATTTTAGGATTTTGTTTCATTTCTTTGGAAAAAATTGATGGTATTTTGATAGGGATTCCATTAAATGTATAGATTGCTTTAGGTAGCATGGACATTTTCACAGTATTTTTTCTTCCAACCCATGAGCATGGAACGTTTTTCCATTTCTTTGTGTCTTCCTCAATTTCTTTCATGAGTACTTTATAGTTTTCTGAGTACAGGTTCTTTGCCTCTTTGGTTAGGTTTATTCCTAGGTATCTTATGGTTTAGGGTGCAATTATAAATGGGATTGACTCCTTAATTTCTCCTTCTTCTGTCTTGCTGTCGGTGTAGAGAAATGCAACTGATTTTTGAGGACTTATTTTATATTCTGACACTTTACTGAATTCCTGTATGAGTTCTAGCAGTTTTGCAGTGGAGTCTTAATGGGTTTTCCACATAAAGTATCATATCTTCTGCAAAGAGTGAGAGTTTGACTTCTTCTTTGCCAATTCAGATGCCTTTTATTTCTTTTTTTGTGTGATTCTAGTACTATGTTGAATAGCAGTGGTGATAGTGGACATTCCCTACCGTGTTCCTGACCTTAGGGGAAAAGCTCTCAGTTTTCCCCCGTTAGGAATGATATTCACTGTGGGTTTTTCATAGGTGGCTTTGATGATATTGAGGTATATACCCTCTATCGCTACACTGTGAAGAGTTTTGATCAAGAAAGGAATCTGTACTTTGTCAAATGCTTCTTCAGCATCTATTGAGAGTATCATATGGTTCTTGTTCTTTCTTTTATTAATGTATTACATCCATTGATTTGTGGATTTGAGCCATCCTTGCAGCCCAGGACTAAATCCCACTTAGTCAAGGCAAATAATCCTTTTAATGTACTATTGGATCCTATTGGCTAGTATTTTGTGAGAATTTTTGCATCCGTGTTCATCAAGGATATTGGTCTGTAATTCTCTTTTTTGATAGAGTCTTTGTCTGGTTTTGGGATCAAGCTAATGCTGGCCTCATAAAATGAGTTTGGAAGTTTTCATTCCGTTCCTATTTTTTGGAATAGTTTCAGGAGAATAGGTATTAATTCTTCTTTAAATGTTTGATAGAATTCCTCTGGAAAGCTGTCTGGCCCTGGGCTCTTGTTTATTGGAAGTTTTTTGATGACTCCTTCAATCTCCTTACTGGTTATGGGTCTGTTCAGGTTTTCTGTTTCTTCCTGGTTCAGTTTTGGTAGTTTATATGTCTCTAGGAATGTACCAATTTCTTCCAGATTGTCAAATTTGCTGGCATATATTTGCTCATAATATGTTCTTACAATTGTTTGTATTTCTTTGGTGTTGGTTGTGATCTGTACTCTTTCATTCATGATTTTATTAATTTGGGCCCTTTCTCTTTTCCTTTTGGTAAGTCTGGCCAGGGGTTTATCAATCTTACTAATTCTTTCAATGGACCAGCGCCTAGTTTCATTGAGCTGTTCTACTGTTCTTTTGGTCTCTATTTCATTGATTTCTGCTCTGATCTTTATGAGTTCTCTTCTGCTGGGTTCAGGCTTTCTTTGCTGTTCTTTCTCCAGCTCCTTTCAGTATAGGGTTAGGTTGTGTACTTGAGACCTTTCTTGTTTCTTGAGAAAGGCTTTTATCACTATATACTTTCCTCTCAGGACTGCCTTTGCTGTGCCCCAAAGATTTTGAACAGTTGTGTTTTCATTTTCATTTGTTTCCATGAATTTTTTCAATCTTTTGAAATTTCCTGGTTGACCCATTCATTCTTTTGTAGGGTGCCTGTTAGCCTCCAAGTATTAAGAGTTCTTTCCAACTTTCGTCTTGTGATTGAGTTCTAGCTTCAGAGCATTGTGGTCTGAAAATATGCAGGGAATGATCCCAATCTTTTGGTACCAGCTGAGACCTGATTGTGACCCAGGATGTGATCTATTCTGGAGAATGTTCCATGTGCACTAGAGAAGAATGTGTATTCTGTTGCTTTGAGATGGAATGTTCTGAATATATCTGTGGTGTCCATCTGGTCCAGTGTGTCATTTAAAGCCTTTATTTCCTTGTTAATCTTTTGCTTAAATGATCTGTCCATTTCAGTGAGGGGGGGTGTTAATGTCCCCTACTATTACTGTATTATTGTCAATGTGTTATTAATTGGTTTAGATCATTGGCTGCTCCCATGTTAGGGGTATAGATATTTAAAATTGTTAGATCTTGTTGGACAGATCCTTTAAGTATGATATAGTGTCCTTCCTCATCTCTTATTATGTTTGGCTTAAAATCTAATTTATCTGATATAAGCATCGCAATCCTTCTGTCAGAAAATATTCTTCTAATTAGTAGTTCATTAGAAAATGTAAATGTGCATGGAAGAAGCTGAGAAGGAAACCCAAGTGGGTTTCATTCCCAGAAATGTAGGAAAACTTTACCCATACCGTGGCCTTAATGATTCCACACTGACCAGAGTGTACTCAGTTCTCTGTTATCAGAGCTCATTTTAGCACACCAGGCATTATCTAGGTTCCATTCTCTCTGCTGCCTCTCGATCATTGCCCTGCCCTGCCCGTTGGTTCTTATATGGCAAGGAAAGGTAATAAAGCAACTGAATAGATGATTCCTTGCAATTCATAAGCCACTCTGTGTTTGGTCTTTACCAAAGGGGGAAAACTAAAACTATTCATGAAAATGAGGGGTTTTCATATCTGAGGATTTAGATGCTCTCCCCATTACTATTAGGTTACTATCTAATAATCAAGAAACAAATATCTAGACAGAACAATTATTTCAATAGTTTTCATTCAACTTTTATCATGTATAAAAGGCTCTTCCCCAACAGGGATGTAAATAAGCACACAATGTCAGGAAAAATTTAAGTAAGGCTCAAGTAGAACTTTATTTCCTGGTTAATCTTTATTCTTAATTCTTAATTTCTAAGAATCTTAATTCTTATATTAATTCTTCCCAAAAAGGAAAAATATTTTTTATATTGAAATGTACTCAACACTTAAGCAGTATCTGAACCGTTTTTTTGGTTTTTAAGATACCCAGCTGAAAAAGGGTCTCTGATCAGTAAGTTTGGAAAATGTTGCATTATATATCGCTTTTCTGGAAATGTAAAATCGGCATTACAATATTAAAGACTCTAATAAAGAGACATTTTGAATTTGGTTAACCAAGCATTTTCCAAACTTATTTGTAAAGTCATTGTAAAACTTTTTTCAGTTAGCACCGACTTTGGGAATGCTGACCCATATTCCAAGTTAAAGGAAATGACCTCATACAAAAAAATATATATATTTCTAAGATAATTTAACATTACTCTGTCTCAGATGATAAACCAAGGATAATTAGGTATTACATACAGAAAAACTACAAAATTTGTTATTTGAAAAACTCAACTATAAGAGGGAGGCAAGCCAGAAAACAACAGACTCTTACCTACAGAGAATAAACTGAGAGTTGCTGTAGGGAGGTGGTGGGGGATGGGCTCGATGGGGGTTGGGTAAAAGGAGAGCACTTGTGCCTAGTACTAAGTGTTGTATGTAAGTGAAAAATCACTGAATTCTACTCCTGAAACCAGTATTACACTGTATGTTAACAAACTAGAATTTAAATAAAACTTGAAACATAAAGTAAAATACTCAACTACATTGAGATCTATATGGTTGAGTGCATATACAAATTTTACAATTGTTATTTCACAAATCCCAGTTCTACTACTTACTAGCTGTGTATCCCTGAGAAAAGGGAGCCATAGCTTCCCTGAGCCATAGCTTCGCCATCAGAAAAAAATCAAGATAATACTATACATCTTTCAGGATTATTATGAGGATTACATTAGATAATGCATTAAAATCACCTGGTATAGTGTAGGCACTTCACAAACTCCAGCCTATTTTCCTTCCATTGCTCTTCTAGATGAAGAATAGAGCCTCTTTTCCTCCTCAGCACTTTACTGATACATCCTAGAATTAAAGTGTAATCAATGACTCCAGTATAATGAGCCTGGAGTGCTCAGTAAATACATAGCATATTCCAAATGCAGAAGTAATACTAAAACAACCCTTCTACTACCAAAGCCCTACATGGGAGATACCAAAACCCACATTAATTTCTGTACTTTGGTTAAAGAAGTGTCCACAGTTAATCTACATGTTCAGTACTGGGATGCAAATTCAATGGAGATGTTGAGCAGCCTTTATTGTTCACACAGTTTATTCCCCAACATACATAATGAGTCATAAAGAAGCCAGCTGTATTCACCACAGCAGTGCCCTGTGGGAGTGATTCTCACTTATCATCTAATTTTTCAGCTGGCAAACATTAATTGAAACACAGCCTACTGTGTGTCAGGTATCAATATGGATAACATAAACTCCCTATGTGCCAAGCACTTGAAAGCTAAAGAATTACTGCATTTGGAGTCCAGAAAACCACCATTGTACCAGAGCCCTGAGCTACACAGACAGAAGCCAGAACAGAAGCCACTGTATCAATGGCTTAGTGTGTCAGTATAGACCCTGAATCAGTCAAGATGAGCTATATCATGCTGCAGTAACCAAATGACCCCCCAAATATTTATTTCTCCCACAAGCTATATATCTACCACTGGGCAGCTGAGGGCTGTCCTGTGTTGTCATCACCCTTCTCTAGAAATATTTGCCAGCACCCATGGGAGAAGATGAAACTCTTGAATGTCTCATATGGACAGGACTTTATGTACGGCACTTACATTCAAAACTCATTGGCCTGGGGCGCCTGGGTGGCTCAGTGGCTTAAAGCCTCTGCCTTCGGCTCAGGTCATGATCCCAGAGTCCTGGGATCGAGCCCCGCATCAGGCTCTCTGCTCAGCAGGAAGCCTGCTTCCTCCTCTCTCCCTCCTGCCTCTCTGCCTACCTGTGATCTCTCTGTGTCAAATAAATAAATAAAACCTTAAAACAAACAAACAAACAACAAAAAAAAAAAACTCATTGGCCAGAACTGGCCACATGGCTACAGCCAACCACAGGGTTCCAAGAAGAAAAATTCTTTCATGTGCCCAGAATGGAGGAGGCCCAGAATATTTAACATTTGCATGGGCCCCTTTCCCAACCCATAGTAGTAGTTCTCAGGGGTTTTTTTTTTTCCCCAGTTTAATCTTCATTTTATATTCTGTATGATTATAATGAGAATGATCTTATTAATTAATGAGAGTGTGAGCAGCTGGGTTCAAATTCCAACTGTACATTCACTAGCTGTGTGACCTTAAGCAATTACCTACCCTCTCTAAAACTGAGTTTTGCTCACTTGTAAAATGTAGATAAGAATTATTTATACTTGAGGTGCCTAGTGGCTCAGTCAGCTAAGCATCTAACTCCTGGTTTTCGCTCAGGTCACGGTCTTGCGGTTGTGGGATTGAGCCCCACATCGGGCTCTGTGCTCAGTACAGAGTCTGCTTCAGATTCTCTGTCCCTCTCCCTCCCACTTGTGCTGTCTCGCTCTCAAAGAAATAAAAGAGCTTCATTATTTAAAAAAAGAGCTCTATTATTTAAAAAATAATGCATTAAATTCCTCCCATTCTCCATTTTTTATTCCCCAAAGGCTCAATTCTTTTAACCACTTCTTTTGATATTGTCTTCATATCTCTAAAGAACATGTTTGTATTGCTAATCTTTTCTTTGAGGCATTGCCTCACTAAGAAAGATGATTTCTCTTTTTCACTCCTTCCTCTTACTTGCACATTACAATTCCTGTCATTCGTCCTCCCAATATATCTGCATTGTAATTTTAGTAAGATCAATATTTATTGCCTACATTATAATGATCGTGTAATTCTATGATTATTTTCCTTTCCTTCATAACTTTTTATTCTCCCTGTACTTAGCTGTCATCTTTTATTGTATGTTTGCTTGTTTTCTGTGTGGCTGTAATTAATCCCCAGGCTATTCAGTTGTGTCAATTTTCTCTCAATCCAATCAAATATATTAGTACTGTTTCACCTGCACCTTTTTAAGGAAGCCTCTCTGAGCCCTCTGACCTGTTCCCACCTAGACTGGTTGCTGGCTGCCTGGGTCTGGCACACAGCTGGTGCCCTAGGATCTCTTTTCACCACCATACTGAGGACTCTTCTGGCTGCCCTCCAATATTGGATTGCTTCTTTTTGTATCCCATGTCTTATTTTTTCTTGGTTAGTCCTTCACTTTGGTGGAGTCCTTACTCTAGTGATTTCCTGAGAGAGGATTCTTGGGAGCTAACTTTTAGGTACAGTGAATGTCTAAAAATGCATTTATTCTACTCACCACTTTTAAAGTTTTCAGGTAAGTATAGAATTTTTGGTTGAAATAATTTTTTCAGGTTTCAAAGGTGTTGCTTTGTCCTTTTCTGGCTTTCAGTATTGAGAAGTCTGATATCATTCTGATTTCAGAAGTTTCACAGGATACCTTTTTTTTTTTCTTCTCTGTCAAGTTTTTAAGTTTTTGTTTTTTTTTAACTTCAATACTCTAAAATCTGCTTTGGTATTTTCTTCATGTCTCTGGATAACATATTTATATTGCTAATTATTGGGGTTTTTTCCTTCAATTTGAGGCATCACCTCACTAAGGAAGGATGATTTCCCTTTTTCCCCTCCCTGCCTCGTACATGCACATTATATATAATTCCTACCCCTCATCCTCTTAATATACTGAATAATATAAAAAAATGCACTGCCTTAGTGTGGGTGTACTGTTGTCTGTTGTGCTGGGCAACTGACAAGCCCTTTCAGTATAGGAAGCTATACCCTTCAGTTATGGGATATATTCTTAAAATTATTTAAAAGTATTTCTCCTTTTTTTCTTTGCTCCCTCCTACTGGACTCATAGCCTGATGTCAAACCTCCTAGGTTATTAGCCCATTAATGTTTCTTTTTCTCTTCTACTTTCCATCCCCATGTCCTTATGTTTTTTTTTTAAGATTTTATTCATTTATTCGGCAGAGAGAGACACAGTGAGAGAGGGAACACAAGCAGGGGGAGTGGGAGAGGGAGAAGCAGGCTTTCTGCCAAGCAGGGGGCCCAATGCAGGGCTCGATCCCAGAACCCTGGGATCATCACCTGAATCTAAGGCAGCCACTTAATGACTGAGCCACCCTGGTGCCCTCTTATGCTCTTTCTCAAGAGATTTCTGCAACCTTATTTTCTAAGCCTTCTATTGGGTTTTTCAGTTTTTGGTAGTATATTTTTAAATTACCAGTGCTTTTATAATTCTCTGAGTGTTTCTCTTAGGCTATCCTTTTCATAAAAATGCAGTGCCTTTGTTTCTCTTCAGGCTATTAATGATAGGCTTTGTTTCATTTTATAGTTTCTTCTCTCAGCATTGTCTCTCCTCTAAACTGTTCTATTGTTTATTTGGTTTTGGCCTCTGTCTTTCCTGTTACATGCTTTTCACATCTGCCTGGTGATCCTCAGATGTTCACGGAGATTTAAGAAAAGAGAGCTCAGTAGCTGTTGGGGAGCTTTGAGCACGTGGGCAGGGCTCTTTTCTATAAGCTTCACTTTAGGGTGATTTGGCATGGCCCTCTCTTTCAGAAACCAATGAAAGCAACGTCAGAAAGCTTTAAGTGAATTCTCTTAGTCTGGTCAGGGCCCCCAGCAGTTTCTTCCAGCGTCCTTCCTGGAGGGTATAAGTCTGAGTATCAGTGTTCTGAGAGCCTGAAAGGGAAGTAATCTGCATGGAAACTTTGATTTCATCCACCTGTTTTGGGTACAGTACTACCTTTCACTCCCATTTTTAACTCTACTCCATGTCTCCCACTCTAGAAACCTGTCTTTGTGTTTTTCAGAGAATAAGCCACTAGTTGTTTTTTTTTTTTTTTTTTTTTTTTCCTAGAGTGCGGAAGGGGCATTTGTCCGGCTATGCAGGGTAGAGTAGGAGATCTAGAAGTCTGACTGCTTTTTAAACAGACTTCACCAAATCCCTCTGATTTTAGCTCCACACTCATCCCCCAGTTCCAGCAGTGTGTGGTGCCCAAAGGGTGAATCAGGTTACTTCTCAGCCTTCTCCACTGCTGGCTTACGATTCCACTTTCTCAAGTCTGCTAAATCCATCTGTCCATCTGCTTTCTAGCTACCAAAGTTCACTTGCTTTTGTTTCCTTTCTCATCTCTTTGTCTTTATAGATTCATGTAGTTTCCCTTTCTTTTTTTTTTTTTAAATCTCTTTACTCTGGTTTAGTGAGATTTGGGGATAGAGCAGTACGTAATGAATATGTTCAATAAGCTGCGTTTAACCGGAAGTCCCGGCAGCATCATTTTCAAGTACAATATGACCAGCCAAATTCATGTTCAAGTCAGAAAAAAATGTTTTTGCTTTGTTCTGCCAGGAATAACCATTACCAGCACTAGCTTGAAGCTGGCATGAATGCTCGTGTCAGTCAGCTTACTCCTAACTGCTCCTATAGGATCATAAGCAGAACCAAACTGGGCCTCAGCCACAGGCAGTCTGCCCAGCTTTCCCTGCCTAACAGCAGTGATACAGACCATATTCTCATCCCAGTGACATGTCTGTCCAAAGCTGGTGATGACCCCAACAACCTCAGCTTCTCTTCATGGTACAGATGAGAATTGAAATCCATGATGATTTAGTTCAGGTCCATGGAGTACTATTTGTAAAGCTTATCTGGGGAAGTCTGCAAGTTTTATCAGTGAAAGCTCCAGGTTGTAAATAGAAGGGATGAACGATTTGCTTACCAATGTAGCCATAGCACATGGTAGTGTACGAAAAAATATTTGTTCAGTAAATTAATGTCTTGGTTTTTCTGGGTACTGGCTTTTCAGTCTTGAGCAATCCATTTTAACCTCTCAATCTCAGTTTCTTCTTCTGAATAATTACGGTGACAATCATACCAATGCCTACAACTATTTTTATAAGCCAACATATACACTGGAAAAAACTGCCCGAGAATGCTAGCCGTGGTTATACGAAAGTGAGTGAAGTTTTGTTTTTTCTCTT